GTTGATGAATAGGGGGTCGCCACTTTTGGAGAAAGCATCCTCCATAAATCTCCAAGGTGGTTTCATCCGGGGTCAACATTAGGCATGGACAGGCATGGCACCTATTGGAGGGCTTAGTGATCCGTGAAGCATCTGCACCTCAAGAAGTGCCTTCTGATGTGCCAACTTGCAGTCCCCAAGGATCCAAACGTGGCATTCAAATGGCTTACGCTCAGCACAGTGGTACCAGCGTTTCGCTACCTGCCCCGCCCTGGCTAATCAACCCAAATGCTGGCAGATTCTCGATGCCGGTTGGCAAAAAGTGAAGATCCCCTGTGGTTGGGAAGAAGGAACCCCAAACGTTACCGAGCATTGTTTCGCGAAACAAGCGCGGAATCAAGACTCCCTAAATATATGCTTTTAAACAATTAGTTTGCAAATCGCAAAACAGCTCCAAAGCCTGATCCCCAAGCAAAGGACCTTCATTATAGCGAGCTCGGTTTACCCCCGCATGATTCCTTTCAAAACCGACTGAGTGCCGGACAAAATTTGACTCTTCCCGAAGCGTCAGAAAATTTGGCCCGTTTTGACCCGGTGTCTGTGTCTGTGGTGGGGTTCTGCTCGCAAAACCCCAGAAAAACAGACAAGCAATTGTAGTAATGCCAGTTGCTCCAGAAAGGCGCTGTAATTACGTACTCTCTTTCCCAAGATGGAAGATATGGTTTCAAAAGGCTCCACCCATTGAACCCGGCCAGTTCCGGAGCCCCAACTCAGGCGGCAGCCAAGGCGCTCGCTCTTCACGAGGCCATGGGGTTCGGTTAGCTGAGCTGTGAGCCGCAGTTCGGACAGTGAGACAAAACAAGACCTAAGTCTCTGAATATTCCAAGTAGCCAACCACATATCATAGAGCCGGGAACCAGGAGAAGGCATCTGCAACAGTTGACCAACGCAGCTTAAAGCCAGGCATTGTGAGCGCGTGAAACACCCCGCCATGAATTTGGCTGAGGGATGGGTTCTGTTCGCTAATTTGGCAGAACTAGCCTCCAGTGTAGCATGCGACACTCATTGTGTACCGGGTTTGTTGTATAGTTGATTCTTACATGCAGAAAAGAGTCACCTTGCACAAAGTCCCTTCCCACTCGGACCTTTCTTCTCCGAAATCTGCCGAATTCAACTTTTGGGGTCGAAGGCTTTGCACAACGCAGAAGTGATTGCCCCTCCAGCTTCGACTGTTGGATGGTCTGAACCTTCGCATGTGGCAGAAGCTGGATGATGGTCTTCATCCACAAACAGGCCACATCTCATTCCGGGCGCCAACAGTATGTAGGCAATCAGTGATTCTGGCGACAACCCAGAAATGAGGGACAAATCCGCTTGGTGGGCGCAGTTCCGCGGCTGATTGTGCAATCAGGCCTCTCACAACAAGCGTAGAAGTGCAGCAACCCAGTCTCGCATAAGGACCCAAAACGGGGTCCGTGTCTCTTTAGTTGCCCCTACCGGCTGCAGAAAGGGTGCCCAAGACAGCTCGCCCGCCTGGAGGGCGGCCTGGCCCGGCCGGGCCGCCTCCACGCATTGCGCGTGAGTGTCCTCCGAAGCGCGCCTCAGCTCGGGGCTCACGGCTCTGATTCCTCTGAACAACGGATGACATGCAACGTGAAGGACCAAGAATTTCGTGGCTGTCCCGCTTCTCCCTAAACCTATTGGATTCTTGGATTCTTGAGTCATGGTTGTAATATCCAAGTCAAGGCAAGCGGAAAGGGGGGTATCTGAAAACTGACACACAAGTAAGCATCTTCTAACATTGAACCCAAAGCTGTTTTCCATTGGAGTGTGTGACCTTCCAAGTAGGCAATCGTGAAAAGTTAGCCGGGTGCTTGACGTATGTCTCGTCCGTTGTAAATGTGTCCCTTCTTGCGAAAGAAGGCCTCGTTTTCCAGAGCATCCAAGGCCCAAGCGGAGAAGAAGCCTTGTAGCTGAAAACAAGTGGAGCGAACCTGAAACAAGATCTAAACATCGTTGTGACTGAATAGAACCTGTGACATTCAGGTTCCTGCGTGTTGCTTTTCCGAGGGTATAAGCCACAAACACTCCCTGCATGCGTCACGGAAACAGTTCCATAATAACAATCCTCGCAGGCGCTAACAAACGTCATGTTTGAGAGTTGGCCCAAACAACCAATGCGTTACTCCGACATGTAGATACATATGAACAACACATATAGAGATAAAAGCACATAATCAATACATATACATATGCATATACATATACATATGCCTAATCATATACGTATGTATACGCGTATACATATGCATATACGTATATACATATACGTGTACACCTGTGGGTATGTAGAAGTATGATTGTACAAAGACAAGTGCGAATACATACACGAGCACATACACGCAAACATAACATGGTGTGCATACATGTGTATGCATGAACCATGCCTTGAAAGCAAGGATCTCAAATCCATGGCGGCATTCACACAGGGCCTCCCTGCGCACGCTGTAGGAAGCCGACCCAGCTGCTGGCGGCCTATGGCAGGGGAATGGTTCCAAACCGGTCCCTGACGTGCCTAGCGTCCGATCCCTGATGAGTCTCATTTGGTTTGAGCCCTGCTTTGTTTGGAAGCCTCACTACCTGGGTGCTTGGGCCAATCTGACGGGTGTTAACGCACTGGGAGCCGAAGCTCGGTATAGTGTGTGCCGTGGGCGAGGCATCTGTCGAGCCAATGCCACGCGACGCTGTTGCTTCTTTCCTCTCAGACTGAAACGGATGCCCTGATGCAGAATCTCTGATGGTGAAGCTGCAATCCCTGCACGAGGTTGCCACTATCTGCCCAGCAACATAGCTTGCGTAGGACCCCTTCCCAAAAGCCCCGCATTCCCAAGTCCTAAGTTTCTTGGCCGCTTTCCTGGGAAAATTAAGGGATTTCGGAGCCAAACCAACTGAACGGAGGGGAAAACCAACGATGAACTCCAACCCACCCCGCCCTATCCAATCCCAACCCACCCCGGCCAAAGAGCCACGCACGGCACGGCATCGCTTCAGAGGCGAGCCAGCAAGCCGAGTAAACAGAAGGCGCACGCAGTCGGAAAATGTTCCCGACCTGCGAGCAAGAGGCGAACTCGCAACTCGACCCTCGGCGCACAACACTGCGCGGGTCTCGCAAACGGGCGAAAGAGGGCCACGGCACCAGCGCGCGCGCGCGCGCGTTACAGCAGCAAACATCTGCCCGCGGCTGGCAAATCACACCACAGGCCAAAGCCCTCCGCCCTCAAGGCATTCTCCACCTCAGCTTTCACCCGCGGCAGAGTCTGCCCTAGTTGTGCGACCAACATGGCCTTCTTTGTCTCCGTCCGACATGGCCTTCTCTTTCTCCATCTGTTTTGCCCAATTCTGCACTGCTGACGGCCGTCAGCATCATATTATCTTGCTCCGACAGCTTTCGCCTTTCAGTCGGACGCGCTTGAGCGCTCGTGGGCGGCCACGCCTGCGGTTGGCGCCCACGCTCGATCACCCCAACCCACACCCACACCCCAACCAAGCGAAGCCAAGCGCGCCGCCTCCAAGGAGTGGCTGAAGGCCGCCTGGAGTTGGTCGTGCCGCCTGAAGGGCGCGGGATTCTGAACGGGGCTCCTTGCATGTCCCCCTTAAGCGTCACGAAACTTGCCAATTGAATTGGTCCGAAAAGCGAGGTTAAAACTGTCTAGGTGGGGACTAGCAAGGAATTGCCGGGAATTGCACTTTCGTCCAAACTATTGGAATTGTCAAATAACCCAATGTCACCACCGGAGGCCGGAGGACTGATCGGAAGCAAAGCGCGCCCCCGCAGCTGGAGCTTGGAAAGGGTCATTTTTGAGTACGAAGGCAGTGCACGAAGTTTCGAAGCTGCAGCTCATTGGGAATCGCAGCCAGCTTCTCGTTACAAGCGCAGCACTCGAAGTGTGCTCCCATGCAGGTCCTTGCAAATCGCAACGTTTCGGCATAAAGTAGGATGCGAAGTGCGCCTTTGCGAACATAGCAACTTTGGAGTGTAAAACAAAAAAACACGTAAATATTGAATCACCCAACTGCTATTTGGATGTGCAGAAGTTGACAAACTCGCGCCGCCCAAAGCTACATCAGCGTAGTTCAATGGCCCTGGTCGCATTTAACGTGTTGCTATGCCTCCAGGCGACCCGTCGTCTAGTTCAAGTAGCTGCCTATAATTTGCTGGTTCCCAGGCTTTTCAGAAGAATGGCTTGGATTCGCGTATCTACCAGGACAAAATGTTACCTCTGCAACCCCGCAACAAAAAAGCAGTGCCAAGAACCAACCCTGGGCAACTTTCGTGCTTAAAAGTTGCCATGTTCGAGCCACAAATGGAAAAGTGTACTTCGCGTGCCACTTTCGTACACTTTCCGAGTTTCGAGGTGCAGCTGGAAACACGCACTTGGCTTACTACTGTCGCACTTTAAAATTGCCACTTTCAAGCCGCAGCTGGAAGGGGGCACCTCTCCTACTTTCGTATTCGATTCTCGAGTCTTCCCTTGGTTTCTCTCGGCTTCGCGCGATCATCGAAAGACACAAGCACATTCAGCGCATCAGCTGAATGTGTGGGTTGTACAATCTGGTGGCGTTGTCCGGCTTCACTCCTGCTGCGGGAGTGTACTTCACGAAACAGGTTCGTACTTGTAAAAGTTTTGATCCTACTTTGCAGTCAAAAGTTCGGTACTCGAGCTGCAGCTGCGAACGCATACATTTCAACGCTGCCGCCGGCTCCGCCGCAAAGGGCCTCTTCAGCTCTGCTGCCTCTTTGGCGGCGTCCGCGACCTCCGTGCCGGAAGACTTCGGGGAGCTGGGGGAGCTGGGGACTTAGAGCAACTTACAAATTGGGGGAGATCAGACGAACCCGTGGGGAACTTGGAGAAACTCCCGGCCTTTGTGCGCTGGCACCTGACATGGGCCAACTCCAGTTTGTTGCCTCCCAGACATGGTGTTTTGTGCGATGGCTGTTGTGAAGGATACGCTCTGACTCTCAACCACCTACTTGTTCACTGATCACTGGGAACTGTGGGCCGCTTGCAAGGCATCAACAGCCTTTCAGACATGTTGCGCCTTACCCACTGGTTTCATGCCATCCGAGGTTGAACGCCAGCAACCTCAATTCTTTTTCTTTGGGTGCGCACGCTTGTTTGAAGCAGGTCAAACCTGAATTTCCAGGTAGTAAAAGTGTCCTTCAGGAAACTCCTGGCCAAACTAGATTGGGCATGTGTCGAAATAGGCCCCAAAGTGGCGATTGTCCTTTGAGCTTCGCGTTGAACTAACTTGATCAGCAAACGAAAGCCAAAAAACCCTACCCAAAAAATAGCGGACCTCACAGCTGAAGTTGGCGTCCAGGTCCATCGGAGCGTCCTTCTGGACCTGAACCCCAGTCCGGTTGGAGAAGACAAATGCTTAAATGAAACTCAGACTTTCTCTGGTCCAGGTGTCCTTGTGGAAAAGTTGATGGGTCCTACTGGATTAAGAATGAAGCCAGTGGAGCGCATGGGATGCGCAGCGGCCCTTTCCAAAAGCACGGCAATCTTCCTTTAAAGGAGCGCGTTTCTTCGGTGTATTCAAGGGCACAGCTTGCCTAGTGCTGGGAGGCATGAAACAAATACACGTTGCCCTTCTCGGCTGCATCAAAGCTGAGCGGCATGAAGGCCCGCTGCACCTGCTTCCGGGATCCCAATGTCTTGCACAGTCCACACATCTCGGGCTCTCAGCTGAATCCAACCACGAAACCCAAGGGTTGCTCATCCTGGGTAGTTCGAAAAGGGGCTTGCAGCCTGCAGGACCCCAGAATTGTCCCCAATCCGGGCACCAACTTGTGTTTGCTTCAAAGCCACCGGTGAGCTTGCAGCATGCGTTGTCACTCCAGCTGCAACCACACGACGCTGGCTTATATATATATAAATATACACACCTCTTTGAGTTGGACTCACACTAACGCAGATCTCTCGCTTCGCGCCTGCGGCGCTGGATACCGGGCGGGGCCCAGGAGCAAGACCTTGGGAAGAGGCCGGTTTTGGGCCTGCGAAGGCCCAAGAAAACCGCAAATGAAGAATACCCACCACCGATTTCGAACTGGCCCTCAATGGGAATATGGCCTTGGAGCGGCAGAGGCAGTACATATGGGCCAAGCTGACAGAAATTCTTCTGAGCTCGCCGATCCGGAGGGCAAGCAAGCGAATACCAAGGAAGAAGGTCCTGCACCGGCACCGGGAGCACTTGGGAATTATAGTAGTTTGTTCCGACCATTTTCTAGGTACAATCGGCACAACTCCCCATCTTCCGAGAGGGCGGCCACCTGCAGGACTGCCAGCAAGATCAGCCAGGGGCCTCACCCGTTTGGCTTCCCGAAACGAAAGGCGTCTTTCTGGGTTGGCTCGGCCCATTCCATCGCTCTTTTCAGAAGCAAACCAACTGTTTCCCGGAAGGTTTTTTGGTCAAATGGGGGAGTTTGCCCCATGATGCCGATGTCCACGCTTGGCTTCATTTGTTACATGTGCTTCTTCCCTGTTCGGGAGTTGGGGAGGTCAAACAGCTAAACAGCAATATCTAACGGGAACATGGACCTGACAATTCGTGATCCGTCCAAAAAGAAACATATAAAAGGACCTGAGTTTGAAAGAACAAGGTTCCCTTCACTAAAAGCAAAATGAACAACGAGCTCAAATATGAAACGTAGGGGCCCTTGTGCACCCCGATAGAGCTGACGGGGGGAAACTTACCCAGGCACACAAACCAGTACCTTGAATCTTGATCAAACATTTGTTGTGCTTGGCCCGGAAGCCTACTTGTCACCAAGTGCAGAAGTCATCCGACATTCTATTCTAGCCAAACCTCAACTCGTGTGGTTTGCTCGGTTAAGGAAACAAATCAGTAGAATGTCCAAGTCACTAAGCAATCCAAGTCTCCGCTTGTGTCGTGTCAACAACATGCAAAACAATACCTACTCTTCAAATTTCTTAAGCCTTTACTGTTCAGCGTCGCTCCTTTGAAGAAAGCGATCTGGCTACGTCCTCGCCAATCCCAAAGCCACTCCCCAGCTCAAGTCAGCAGAGGTGTGGTCGCGCTCGGCTGCCCCCAGCAGCTTGCAGCTCACTTGATGCTCCGCGAAGGAAGGAATCAAGCATAAAGCAAGTTGCCTGCTTGTGGAATTGGAACTGCAATCCTTCAGCACCATTCTTTCAAGGGATCTTCTTCTTTTCGCAAGAAAAAGCAGAGGAATCTAGAAAGCAGGCAGTACCCCACCCAAGCTTCTTCGCTGCTTTGCTCGGCTCCCTGCGCAGCCGCCCCTGACCAAAACAGCGCGCTATCATCAAATCCGCCGGGAAGGAATCCCTAAGCCAATGGCTATTTTGTGTGGGTGTGGGGTGAAAGCACATGCTACCCCTTCGTAAGGCACACAAACACAATGAGACGACCATGTCCTTCGTCTGAGCTGTCAAGGACACATCTGGCAAGCATGTAGATTCGGCATTCAACAGCGGGGGACATTGGCTTAATCTCCAATGCCAATGTTTACTGAGGATGACCAGGATGACCACGTGAATCCGCAACCTTCCTTGACATGCATTCTCTGCAAGGGAAACCACCTCCGATTTTAAGGAGTTGGATTACGAGCCCAACACAGGATCCGCCTTGGGGCCTCTATCTTGGGCATGGCATCGATCCTGCGCCAGGCACTCTGCAAGGTTTCAGGTCGGAGGGCCTGCCCCGAATTGGAACAAGAGGCGTCTCAAGATACGACACCCAAATTGCTGGCTTTCCCTTTGGTTTCCCTTTTATGCCACCCAACTAGGTACCATCGAATAGACACATCCTTTTACGAAGCTCCAAAAGGATGGCCCCTCCTGGTTTTTGCAGGAAGTTTGGGTGGGCCTCACATGTTCTCCCCAAACGAACAATGGATTGCCAATTATTCCAACAGGGTTGCAATTTGCAGATGCTCCCTAAAATGGACCTGCACCGGTTTGATTCATTTTTTGCTGATATCAAAAACTGTATGCCTCCAGTGTCCGATGTCCTTTGGTCCACAAGTCACCTGCTCCAAAGGGAAGTGGCAGCCAACATGCCGCAGCTTCAGGAAGTACCGACACGGAGAAGAAAAGCAACCGGCACCTGCACCTGAAAGGGAACAGCCCGTTCTGGTGTCCTCCTTCAAAGAAATGCTCCACTGTCCACTGGCTGCCAACTGTTTGCCTCACCCCCGAAACCACACATCGGGAAAAAGCGACTGTGCACTCCCAAGCAGTCCTCAGCCAAATGTCGGGCACGCTCAGCCGCCCGCAATCTGGGCATTGCACACACAGGCTTTGGGGACAGAAGGCGACCCACAGCCTCATGATGTCACGAGCCTGGATGGGTTTCGCTTGGTCGGTACTTGTTGGGGGCTCGGTTGGGGTTGGAGAAAGGCCATGGCTAGATGGGCGAAAACCGAGTCAATCAGAGCTGCAGGGGATCCTCTTGGATCCTCTTGGAGCCTTGCGAGCATCGCCATTCAAAACTCGGGGTGGGGTGTGGTGGGGGTGTGGTGGTGGGTGGGGTGGGTGGTGTGGGTGGTGGGGTGGGTGTGGGGTGGGGTGGGGTGGGTGGGGTGGGGGGTGGGGTGGGGTGGGGGGGGTGGTGGCATGGGGTGGGTTTGGGTGTAGGTGGTGGTGGGTGGGGGTGGGGTGGGGTGTGGGGTGGGGTGTGTGTGTGGTGGGGTGGTGGGTGTGGGGGGGTGGTAGGTGTGGTGTGGGGTGGTGGTGGGGTGTGGGGTGGGGGTGGGTGGTGGGTGGGTGGGTGGTGGGTGGGTGGGTGGGTGTGGGTGGGTGTGGGGTGTGGGTGTGGGGGTGGGGTGGGGTGGGGTGGGTGGGGTCATGCACCTGGGTGGGGTGGGTGGGGTGCGGGTGCGGTGCGGGTGCGGGTGCGTGTGGGTGCGGGGTGCGGGTGCGTGCGTGGTGGGGGGGGGTGGTGAAGTGGGTGGGGTTGGGTGGGGTGGGGTGGGTGGGGTGAAGTGGTGGGGGGTGGGGGTGGGTGGGTGGAGGCAGGGAGGCAGGGAGTGGGGGTGGGGGGTATGTGTTTTTTGTATTTCAGTTGAAACTGCTTTTGTTTACTTGTTTGTTTCAGTTCTGAGGGAGAGGGTCTTGGATTGCATTGCTTGTTTGTTTGTGTTTTGATCATCTGCTTTTTGTTCCTTCTGCTTGTTTGTTTGCTTGATGTTTGTTTGACTATTTGTCCATGTTTGTTTGTTTGTTTGCTTGTTTGCCAGTTTGTTTTGCCTAGTCAGTTGAGCAGTTTGTTAGGTTGTTAGTTTGTTAGTTTGTTATGTGGTGTCTGCTGAGCAGTTACTTCCAGTTAGCCAGCAGCAGCAAAGTTAAAGCTGTTTAGTTTAGGTTTCAGCTTTGTTGTTAAAATAGTGAGCAGTTAAAGCAGTTGTTGTTGAAATAGTTAGTTAGCCAGCTTGTTGTGCCAGCAGTTAAACAGTTAAAAGAAAGTTGTTGTTAGTTGTTGTGCCCCTCCTTTTGTGCTTCACTGTTTGTTTGTTGATTGTTTCTTGTTTGTCTTAGGATTGTTTGTTTGCCTGCTTGCTTGCTTGCTTCTGTTTGTTGTTTGTTTGTTTGTTTGCTTTGTTTGTATCGCACGGCGTTTGTGTGTTTGTGCGTTTGTGCGTTATGGCTGGTAACGCTTGTGTGTTTGTGCGCTGTGTGTGTGTGTGTGTGTGTGTGTGTGTGTGTGTGTGTGTGTGTGTGTGTGTGTGTGTGTGTGTGTGTGTGTGTGTGTGTGTGTGTGTGTGTGTGTGTGTGTGTGTGTGTGTGTGTGTGTGTGTGTGTGTGTGTGTGTGTGTGTGTGTGTGTGTGTGTGTGTGTGTGTGTGTGTGTGTGTGTGTGTGTGTGTGTGTGTGTGTGTGTGTGTGTGTGTGTGTGTGTGTGTGTGTGTGTGTGTGTGTGTGTGTGTGTGTGTGTGTGTGTGTGTGTGTGTGTGTGTGTGTGTGTGTGTGTGTGTGTGT